TTACGTAAAAGTTGAAGTAAACTTGTTTTCTGCTGTGCCAAAAACAAAAACACAAACCAATAGGTTCAAATTACTAAAAAAAAAACAACAGAGTAATACATTGAAATGTTTTCTAGGAATGAAGAGTATCCCTAAAATTAACTTCTATCTAAACATTAGGAAGAACCTCTTTTTTTTTTTTTAACTATAAGAGCTATTCAGCAGCAGGATTGATTACCTGGAGAGGAAATGTTCCCTTTCTTTCAAGGTCTTTAAACAGAGGTAGGATGAGCATTATTTAGAGGTGCTTTTGTTGTGTATTCCTTGTATGGCAGGTGGTTGGATTGGTGAGCTTTGTTGTCCCTTTCTACTCTATGATTCTACAATTCAATAAAACAACTGAAGATACGGGGGAAAGTTAAACAAGCTGTACACAAAGCTCATGAGTCAAAAACCTCTTTTAAAACAACAAGGGCAACAAGAAAGGACCTTTGATAATAGTATCAGACAGCTTGGAGTAAGTTGGGATTTGATGCTGAACAAGCAGCAGAATAAAAAACCAGGGGAAAGGAGCCCAGTTAACTGGTACTCTTTATCCTTTGCTCTCTGGTATTTTGAACTATTGCTAGATCTCACCCCAAGGCTAAATACCAAGCTTAAATATTAAGCTTCCCCAGTTCAACAGGTATTTTGAAAGTAGTTCAAAGGCAGAAAGCTGGATGACTTCTTTTTCTGCCTGGTAAGATATTTCCTGTCTGCCTAGAAAGAAAGCAAATCCCTGCAGGAAGCCTGTCATTACACCACCTATCACAGGAGGAGATGCTAATTCTGGCTCTTTGGGGCACTCCTCTCTGTTCTTAGGAGAAATTTCAATAAATAAACTAACATAAAAGTCAGGGCAAGGACATTGCTGCATGGTTGACAGCAAGAAAATAAGTTTCCCATGCCTCCAGGTAAAAATGTGTGAAGGATTCAATTTTTGCAAATTCTAATACAAACAGAATAAGATCTATACCTCCCAGAGTAGCTCAGAAACAGCTCTCTGTTGACATACACACTTCCGTGGATGTTGTGATGTTCTATCAATAGGCATTTCAAAAATGCATTCTCTGAGGTGCAATGTTTATCAACACATACCTTCAAAGACATCACATTTTGAAATATGTATCTTTTAAAATGCATTGGAGATGCATGTTTAAAAGAAAAAATGTTCTCAAACATGCATTTCAGTGTATAGTGTCCAATTCTTGCACAAATTTTCTTTAAAGTGGAGATTATGCAGAACAAGAATGTGCAAAAAAATGACATGTAAAAGAAATAGAATAATTCAGAGATCATGATCTCCAAGTTCATATTTTGGAAATTATGGATCTTGCTTCCACCCATGTATTATTTATTAATTTACAACATGTGTACCCCAGCTTTCTCATTCAGAAGGGGACTCAGGGGTGCCTTACAACAGACAACAATGAAATACCTACTTTGACCCATCAGTCCTGAACTGAATGTCCCATGACTAAATCCTTGCATAAACTCCATAGCCGTATGTTCTTTCTTGCTCTGATTATTCCTCATGCCTCATCTTTTGCACTTCAGGCATCTGCAAGATAAAAAATGCATAGATCTCCCTGGATAATCTAGTAGGCACCTGATGGGTATGGCCTGGAATTCCTGTTTGAAGATCTTCTGAGCCTCGTTCTCCACAACCTAATGCACACAGTTTTTACCCCCTCTTCTGTACCTTTAAAAAGTGCATGAAAGTAATTCACATTTTTCCATTGCTTCAGTTATGTGCACAGAACAACTGCAGCTGTAGAATGCTTTTCATTCATCTTATAAACAGAGGCAAAAGGAGGAGGAGAGAATCTCATTTTGGACAATTCCTTCCAGAATCTCCTTGCTAGGATGGCCACTACCTATGTTGATTTAAGCTTCTGGAAATTATGATCCAAGAAAGTAATATCTTCCATCTGTGCCTGTAAAGCAACACAGTAATTGCTGAATTAAAACCTGACAAGTTTATCCATGAAAAACCGAGTTTCACTATTGTAATTTCTGTTCACCTTTCCTAGAAAATCACTTTTCTGAGGGGTTTTTGATTATTTGGGATGGTGATACCAACTCCTACCCTCCCTCCTCAGATGTGTGGAAAAGAGAAAATCACAGATCACCTATTATAATACAACTTGAGCCGTGCCACATGCACAATGGAGAAACTTCTTACAGCAACATCAGACGGACTCGAAGTGGCTAGCTTCTGGTCAAAGGAAATTTAGTGTAATGCCAAGTTGTAAATGTTGTTGGTGGTTTTTCCATACATTATAACTGTATTCTCAATTCACTTCTGACATGATAAATAAAATAACTTCCTTAGATTCCCCAGTTTATTCTGAGGTTAATCTAAGTAGTAAGTGGAGGGAAAACACACTCTTTCAGCAATGACGGATTTTTGTTGGTGTAAGGCAAAATATTTCACAGTGATTTAGTCTTGAACACTCAAAACCCTTAACTTTGCTCAAAATTTATTTCTGGCAGAGAGTAAAAATGCTAGAACTGGAAAATGGAGTCTTTATATGGAGGAACATTTTTTTAAATCTCCATGGTTATGGAAATTATTATGACAAGAACCTGATTTCAGCATTTGCCATGGCCTCTCTGGGCCTTTCTGGGCCTTTCTTTTCAACCCACCATGGTTCCAATCAGCTTTGGCCTTTTTTTTAGAAAGCTTTGGCATTTCAAATAAAATGTGTGGGTTTGAGACAAAAATTGCTTTTTGTTTAGTCCCATTACAGAATAAATATGAAGTTACCATTAGAATTAGTGGGGCAGATTCATGGATTCTCCTTGCAGTTTAATATTGCTTTTGATTACTCCAATCCAACACAAGAATCTCATGTTTCTATCATGAGAAATGGGAAGCAGGAGTCCCTTGCTCCCTAATTGACCACCTAAGATATCTACTAAATACAAGATGTACAAATTGTACAATCTGCTAAATCTCAGCTGGAATTAATGAGGCTAGTCCATCAGTTTGATGGTTGCTGTAGAGACAGAGCGGAGGGCAGGTATTAACCCACCACATTTACCAGGCAATTTGTATGGCCAGCTTTCCTTAAGCTAGCATCCATTTATCATTTAGCTGGCCGGTTATGCTTCTGCTCAACCCAACTGTGCTTCTGACTTCTCATAAGGGGATCAATCGTGCGATGACAGAGAAGATGGATGAGTTAAAGTAGTGTGGAAGAGAACAAGCATAAATGGGACATGGCTGAGAATAAGTGGCAGGAAATAGCCCCAGATTCTTGAGCACTGTGTGGGCTCTTGAACTTTTCAAGTGTGCCAGAGGGGCTTGAAAACTCATAAGAGGGGAAATGTCTGTTGTCTGTTCTATCCAGCAATGTTATTTATTTTCTGAGTTGACCCTCCTTTACAAATATTCTGATAGGCATTAAATGTGAGGCTAGATTTGCAGTGTGCTGTGAACATTTACTTTTGAATATCATTCCAGCTTCAGTTCTTGCATTTATTACCAGTGGAAAGGAAATCTCTACAGTTAACAGACAACGTCATGATCTTTCTGTAGGTTATCATTCACCCACATTAAATGTGTTGGCGCTGTTTTTCAGCAGTTATACTGCACAAACATTGTCTGCCCTACTCTTCCCCTTCAACCCAAAGGATTCATATTCTTTTAATGACTGTTTATAATGTGGATACATTTAGCAACTAGAAAATGCTCTGTCCCAATAGGGTTTGTACAGGAGATAGTGTGCGTGGGTGAGCCTTCCAACTATTAATGTTCTGTTGATTCATACAGATTCCTCTTTGCCAAGAAAATCAATTCTATGGCCTTCTTCTAGCCTTTGTGACCTGTGGCTATACTCAATGCTAGATGCCTTGGAAATTATACTATGTGTTTTGAAAGGGCTGTTAAGCATGAACAAAGTTTTGTAAACATTTCTAATGAAGGTGGACATCATTCTTCAAAATTACTCAGATGCTTCATAATTCCTCATTAGTTCATAATTCCTCACTATCCTACTGAGTGTTTATTGCGATTCCAATTGGGTACTTATCCAAAAGTTAGGTTAAGCTTATTCTAATTGTGGGGCTTGGGCCACATGTAGCTCCTTGTCACTTCACAGGTATCTCCAAAGTATTTGAAGAAAAAGATTTTGAGGAAGCTTTTTTGAAAGCTTGATGTGAATACCTGTCAGATCCAGTAGGTACATCAAAGGCATGTCAGAAATACGTGGTTCTAGGCAGTTCTGCTGACATGTCAAATGACAATGCACCTTTGAAAATGAATATATCAAAATCCCTTTTTAGATTCCCTCACCTCCTACCAATAACCTTTGGAACTTGAAGAGTCTAGGAAATTCACAAAGGGAGCAGAGTATATTCAATTGTATGTGATCTCCAATTAACATATGCAAGGAAAATGAGAGAATCTGAGTATTGGGTGGGGTCAGAAGGGGTGTTCATTGTAACTGAGAAAAATAGATGAGTGACTTGAAGGCTCTTTGTGGGGAATTATTATAATAAGCCTATTTAATTTCACACTGTGTGTGTGCTGCTGCAAGTTGCCTGATGACTTATGACTCCATGAATTTCACAGGGTTTGCTCAGAGGTGGTTTGGCCAATCTCTTCTTCATAAGCATAGCCTTTGTCATCTGGTATTCATTGCTGGTCTCCATCCAAGTACTGAGCAGAGCTGAACCTGCTTTGCTTCCAAGATCAGGTGGGATTTGGTGCCTTTAGAGTATTTAGGTACAATATTATTCACCCTTCCTTTCTTTTTAGAGCAATCCTCTAATACTTTTTAGAGCAATGCCTCTAACACTGTGCCTTGGATTAAGCAATTTTCCTCTCTTCTCTTGTTTTGTTTGGTTCCAGGATGACATTAATCTCTTAGGATCTAATACTCTTTCTTTTGCTAAGTCTGGGCTAAGTATAGCAAAACCAAGTTGAAATGATGTTGTATCTACTCAAATTTGCTAACTTCTCTTATTCTTCATAGGTTTTGGATTCACATTATTACATCCTGGAAAGTTGGGTCAGAAGCCATCATTGCTTTTGATAATGTATCACTCAGCCTGGACTGTTACCTAACAAGTGAGTGCTTCTGTGATTAGTATTTCATTTATGTTCTGTGCTGCAGTACACTGGGTTGCCCTTATCTAGAGTAGATTGGAGTAAGACCAGGCCTGCACAACTTGTTGGTAGTAAGGGGCCAAAATTAGATAGACTAAATCTTGTGGGGCTGAAAACAAGTCTTTAGGACCTCACTTTCCAACTAAGGTATAATTGATAATTAAATAGGGTTGTTGTTGTTGTTGTTGTTGTTGTGTGCCTTCAAGTCATTTCAGATCTATCACAGAATTTTCTTGTCAAGATTCATTCAGAGGGGATTTACCTTTGTCTTCCTCTGAGCCTAGAGATGCTATCCTTCCCACCCACTGAGTTTAGAGTCATAGTCCGAGGTTCTTACCACTATATCATGCTTTCTGAATTCTGATTTCCTTCCCTCTCTTTTTCTTCCTTCTTTCCTTCCTTCCTTCTTTCTTTTTCCTTTTCTTTCTGTTTCCTACCCATCTTCCTTCCTTCCTTTACTCCCTCCTTCTTTCCTTCCCTTTTTCCTACCTTTCTCTCTTTCTTCCTTTCCTTTCCTTTCCTTCCTCCTTTCTTCCTTCCTTCCTTCCTGGGGGTGGATGGTGAGCAGCAGAGGAGAAGGCAAGTGTCAGCAGTGGACCAGGGAGGGACAAGAAGCAGGTGGCAAAGGGCAGTGGGGGGAGGGGAAGGTGGTGGGTCACACCAATGGCTTATGTGGGCAACCTGTTAACATTGGTGGAATCCTTGGATTTGCCACTTTTACATCATGTGCAAAGCTGCCCTGAGAAAAGGTGATACAGCCCATGTTGTTCAGGGCAGAATTGGAAAAGTTTCTCTTTAGTTCTAAAATTCCCTGAATCCCAAAATTTTATAATCCTTGTGTCAGTCTTGATTGGACATGACCAGGAAGGCAATATTCCTGATCTTGGGTTGACTACAAAATTGGAATGGGATTTAACCTGGGATATTCTGGAAAGTTGGAATATGGTAGATTAGCATAGCATCCTTGACTTAGAAAGTCTTATGGTCCCCCATGCTGACGCCAGTGTTAAGCTTCCATATCATTGATGTACTTTAGCTTGGATCATATGCAGAAAAGTGTCAAACAATAAAACAAATAATATAGATACTGCATTCCAAGAAAGATTTTCATCAGGGAGCAAGAAATCACATTTCTCATTTGCTTGAAGTAAAAAGGTCTTGGTGACAGTGGAGATTTTTCTTCCAATGTAAATAGTAAGTATGAGGCAAAAATTCAGATCAAGGCCACATTATGTAGGGCAAAGCATTACGTATCTTCACAGAGAAAAACCGAGATTCCTGTAATCAAACAACATAATAGTGTGTCCAAGGTAGCAGAAGTTATTAATGAAGAACAGATAAGCTAGGAGACTTTGCTTTTCTCTGAGGCCCCTTCCAGACAGGCCCTATATCTGACTAATGATCCCAGGCTTTCTGCTTTAAAATGGATTATATTAGTCCCCACTGCCAGATAATCCAGGATAAACAGAAAATCTGGGATCCGATCCTGGGATATAGGGCCTGACTGGAAGGACCCTGAGCCTACAAGGACAGAAAAGAGTCCTCCACTCCTATACATTACATTGCTGAGGTAATTCACTGCAAAGTTTTATTACACTTTAAACTCAGTCTTTAGAAATTAAATTAATCTGAGGACAAAGAGGGAAAATAGAGGAAGGAGAGAAAAACTGAAACATTTAAAAAGTAGCTTAAAATGTGAGATGCCAGAAGCTTAATTGGTGAGTCAGATGAGGCGAGTCAGAGAATACAAAGCTCATCTTTGGCCCTAACTCTATTCTGCAACCTTAACTAACTTAATTTTTGTGGGGAAAATGCTACCTGGGTGAAGTCAATAGAGTGCAGCACACCAACATTTAGAGCAATTATTATGTAATAGTTTGGCTCTGGGAGACAAGAATTTAAATCTTTGCTCAGGCATGGAAACCTTCTGTGTAATCTTGAGCAAGTCTCAGTCGCTGAGCTATAGGAAAGGAATGACAAGACTAATCTGAATGTGAACAAGACTCTATGGGCAGATCTTCTGCAATAAAAAGGGGGCTGTCCAGACAACGTTTTGGGCAGCCCAGAAATACTTCGCCACAAACCAGAAAAACCCTGGTTTGTGGTGAATGAATTTGATAGTGGGTTTATTCTGGGCCGTCTTGGTGTCTGGATTGCCAAGAGAAAGGGGGGAGGAGGAAAATTGCTCCCCCTTTTTCTCCTGGCATGTCATTTCTACATGCCAGGAGAACTCCAGCAGCCATCCCATGGAGGCCGGGTGAGTTCTCTTCCTTTTTAACCGTGTTTAGGGGGGCTTCTGGTAGGGGGTTAGGTGTCTTGGTGTTGTACTGGGAAGCCACAGTACAACATCTGGACACCCACCCCACAAAGCACATGCTTCTGGGGTGAGTGTGGATGGGCCCCTAGGAACATCTGCAATTTTTAAACGCGTATGCTCCTGAAATAACAGCCTGTCTGAAAAGGCCCTATGGCCCCTTCTATGCTGCCATAGAATCCAGTTCAACACAGATAATCTGGATTATATCTGGCCATGTAGATGGAGACTAAGATATGGTTAACTAGAGTTGGCTTAAAAGCACAAAACACAACAGGCCCACAAGACGCACACACATGCCCTCTGGCTCCAGAATTTAGAAGTGGAATGGTACCAAGTTTACATCTTGCATTATGCTGGGTGTATTTGTCCAGGGGTAATATTTAACTATTTACCAGGGCTTTGAAAAGATACTTGTTTGAACTAGAACCCCAGAATCACCCAACTGGCATGGCTACTTGATAATAAATTTAAAATGTAACATTCAAAATCTGAAAATATACTTTTCCAGGTATAACACTTAGCTTTATTGTCTTACAAATTAATGTTTAACTTTTAAGGGATAAAGTAATATGTGAACACAATCCTTTTCTTTCTTTCTTTTGTTACTGATTTTCCAAATACTGAGATTATCAATAATGCTCTGTGTGAATATCCTTTTAGCCAGTTCCTCCTCAGATGTAACTCACACCATTTCCTCTATAGTTATTTTATAACATCTCTCTATAGCATCTGCCATGTGCGAATCTGTCTTTCATTTCTAATGAGTTCCATTTGCTTGCACTTTGTGTGCCCTAATGCCAAATGCCAGTACAGTTGAATTTTTTAGCATCTGCAGTTGTAAGAGGATAGATTTTTAATTATTTATAGCTATGAAAAATTGCATGCTCGCATATTAAACACTGAAAAATATGCATGCCAGAACCGGACAATTAAACAGAACCCACTGTAATTTTTTTGTTTCTGACAGCAATGATGTCCCTTCACCTTCCTAGCATCTTCAGTATGCTTTCCTCCCTCCTTTTCTCCTATTTTCCCCTCCATTTGTTTCAGATCCCACAACAGTAATGGATGCCAGCCTATCCTTCCTTTTAACACTATCATGTGTTATGGTTGCAAAACTTTGGCCTTGTTCAATCCACCACCAGCTGCTGTTCTCCTCACTTTGCCAGACCAACACACCATCTCCACACAGTCATAAACCAGAGTGCCTTTTTGTGTTCCAGTCAATGAAGAGAAGACATCTCAAGACCACAGTCCGGATGCAGGCAATCTGCTCACAGAAAAAGGCAGAGGCGAAGGACATTTTACAGAAGGGCCAACCCAGGATCCTGCACCATTTAGCTTTGGAGGTAAGAAATTGATTTCTTCTTGCAAACAGTTCCAGATAATTTGGAGTCTTTGCAGGAGCATAGATTTCTGCCAAGTGCAAGGAGATACCATATTGCTAATTAGGTGGAGAAAAATACACAGTGGAACAGATATTTTGTGAAAATAGGCACACTTGACAAAATAGACACACTACAAGAGCCCTCTTTTGAGAAAACAAGGAAAGGGGGTAGACTCTTCTCAAAGCAAATGGTTGTTGCCATTTTGAAAAGAAACAAGTATTTGAAACCAATTTCTTAAGCAGTATGTGAAGGCCAGGTGACTTTTGGTACTGTAAATAAAGGTAAAGGTTTCCCCTGGCATTAAGTTTAGTCATGTCTGATCTGGGAGTGACGCTCATCTCCATTTCAAAGCCAAAGAGCCGGTGTTGTCCGTAGACACTTCCAAGGTCATGTGGCCAGCATGCCTGGAGTGATGTTACCTTCCCGCAGACACAGTACCTGTTGATTTACTCACAGTACTTTGGTACTGTAGCTCCCAAAATTACAGAATGAAGTACACCTCTGTGTTGATTGGATGCTCCTGAAGGTCTTCATGCCAAATGTTAACTTCTTTAAGCCTGTTAGAATGCATATATCTCTGAAAGGAACCGGTTCCCCATACCCATCTGTCCCACAAAATGCAGCTTCAAATTTTGACACGGCATAATTTTGAAACTCCAGAAAGACTTCCATTTGATTAAATTTTGAGGAGGAGAAAGATAAAAGAATTGTCCTAAATACTTTGCTTTTATCAAATTCTGTCCAGTATCAGATATCCCAGTGAATCCATCACTCACAACGTGGAATTTTATTGTAAGTTACCATTCAGAGAACTAGAGTTGTAGGACTCTTACTGTGGAGTAGACTTCTCTGGGTGTCCTATAGTTGAAAGATTGCCCAGCTGAGGTCCAATTTAAAAAAGGAAAGGGGACTTGAATACACCCAACAACAATTGGCTTCCCAACACCAGATTGAGCAAACACATAAGTTGGTCATCTGGTCAAAGTTTGTCTCAGTATGGTGCATCTATTTATTTTATAGCAATTATTAAACATCATGGGCGCAGCAGGTTAAACCACTGAGCTGCTGGACTTGCTGACCAAAAAGTTGGCAGTTAAAATCTGAGGAGCGGTGTGAGCTCACGCTGCTAGGCCCAGCTTCTGCCAACCTAGCAGTTCAAAAACATGCAAATGTGACTAGATCAATAGGTATGCTTCTGTGGGAAGGTAACAGTGCTCACTCCATGCTGGCCACATGACCTTGGAGGTGTCTACAGACAACGCCGGCTCTTTAGCTGGGAAATGAAGATGAGCACCACCTCTCAGAGTAGGGCACAACTAGACTGAATGCCAGGGCACACCTTTACCTTTCATTAATCATCAATGCTTTTTGGAGAACGGAGTCATAAGTGGCCACTGAAATCCAGATCTCCAAAATGGTTCAAACAAAACCAAAGGAGATTCTGCTTTGGACCATGACCAGCCAGATACACAGGATGAACTCACATGTAAGGACTAAAGTTGGAAGTTATTATTCATAAAAGCATTATTGTTATTCATTGCAACATTGAAAAAAAATGCAGTGTTGTTATTTATCACAATACCGATCCCCCTCCCCAATGCCTTGCTGTTTTACTCATTACCTTTTTGTTAAAAAGGAACAGTAGTAAGGGAATGGCATAATGTCTTTAAAATGCCCCTCAAAATTTCTATAAAATCCCTTTAATGGTCTGTATAGGTAGCGGAAAGACAGTAATTGCTACTTATTGCAAGGAAAAATGAATTGCTGTATTCTTTTTGAAATGAGAGTTTATGCTGGCATTTGTACCTATCATGTAGCCCTCCAGATATTGCATGCTAATTCCCAGCAGCCCTAGCCAGCATATCTGGTGAAAAATGTTGGAAGTTGCAAGCTAATATGTCTAGAAGGCTACAAATTCTAACCCCAGGATTATGCTCGTGTCATTCCATTATCACCATCTGTACATTATTTCCCCCTCTTTATTTCTAAGCTCTGACCGAGAACTACAACTGTATCTTGTGATTGCCCTGCCTTTCTGGTACTGCAATCAGAATGCTTCTGATTTACCATTCAGAAAAGTTCTTTTCTGGCCAACTAGAGCCCTTTCCTATTATACAATCATAGTACTATGCTATGGCAAGATCCTATGAAAGTATGGGGAGAGGCATTTAGAAACCCCAGCTGGAGAGCTCTAGCACCTCCCCAAACTATAAAGTCCATAATTCTATGGGACATTGCCATGTCAATTAAAGTGGAATCATAATGCTGTAATTATATACTGTGAAAAGGCCTCTAAACTAGGCACTTCACCCCACGGAATAAGTAAAGTGTTTAGGATCATTGGTTTTCCTTTAAACTTCACAACACCCCATTGGGAAATTGAACTGATGATTTACCTACCACCAATACACCTTCTCCTTTTCTCCACTTTCTTTAGGATTTATCTGTTTGATTTGCCATCACACGGTAGAGATTTCTTTCCTCCCATTGTCCCTTTTCATTTATTTAAAAAATCAGCCTGGATCATAGGAAGTAGCTTTAAAGTAACCCTGATTTTTCCCCAAGCTTTTGCATTGCGATCATAGAAGGTGTTTAAAATTGGGGAAATTGGCATTTTGGCTCCTTCCACAAACTGTGCCATTGTTTTATTTACAAGCAGGCAACAGGGATTAACATAACATGGGGAAATAGGCCATTTTTCCTGTGTATACATGGGGAATGTAAAAATAAATCAATTCCCAACCAGCCTAGGAATCCTTGAAGAAACCAACACAGCAAAATACCTCAACCCCATGGTTGAAAGTTACATCATGTGAAAAACAGTGTGGGTTGCAAGTTCTTAAATGTGTGGCAACTCTAATTTTACTGTGTGAGATGAAGTGCTAGGGCCCTTCCACACAGCCATATAACCCAGAATATCAAGGCGGAAAATCCCACAATATCGTCATTGAACTGGGTTATCTGAGTCCACACTGCCATATACTCCAGTTCAAAGCAGATAATGTGGGATTTTATTCAGCTGTGTGGAAGGGGCCCTAGATGAGATGGCAGCAAATCTGGATGGGATTTATTGCTTTCAAGATGAAGAATATGTTCAGACGTAAGTCACAGGCTGAATTCTATTAGCAAGAATTTAGTGGTCTTTGCCAGGAGGCAAAGACCAATCATACTCAGCAAGGAGAGTCTGGAGCCCTGGTGAGACAAGCAAAGCACCCTAGATTTTTCCCTAATTTTTCCCAAATCAAGTCTCACCAAGTTGAAGGAAAGCCACTGAATTGTCACAAAGAGTACATTTTATAGAAAATACAGAGTTGTCAGATTCAAACTTCCCACCCCCCGCCCCTCTGCCAGCTTCGTGCTGATTGGCTGGAGTCATCAGCTGGAGGGAGGCGTGGCTGGCTTAGGCGCACCTCAGCCAATGGGAAAGCCAGTGCCGCTTCGGCTCCTGAGCCAATGGGAGTTGAGGAGGCGGTACAAGCGAGAAAATAATGAACCGAGAGGAAAGTGAGTCGATTAAATGGAACTTAATGGTTTGTCCAATGGACGGCAATAATCCGGAGATTATTCCGGGGTTCATAAAGCATGCATAGGGGAAAAGGGGGAAAAGGAAATTCATATAAACCCATCCCACCCATCAAAGTTCATAGAGAGTCCAATATTGTGAAATCATACAAGTCATGAAAGGGAGTCCATGGGGCTTAGGGAAGGAGTTCCAGAAAGTTTCCAAAAGTTCTTAAAAGTTGGCAAAAGTTGATAAAAGTTGTAAAATCCATGGGAGGCAAGTTGGAAAAGGTGTCCCAGAGTCCGTTGAGTTATTATGAGGTGACTGCCAATGCTGGATATCAAGATCCATGGAGAGAACTACAGATCCCTCCTCACCAAGGACCAAGGCGGCCCGCCGACATCTTGGGGATCCTATGGGGTGACCGCAACAGTTTCCCAGGATCGACAGGCTCCCTGGGCATCCACAAAATGGTGGCAGCAAGGCAGTATCTTCAGGAAAACAGCTGGGCTCCAGGTTGAGGTTTTGGTGGCAAAAATTGTTATTCCTGGGGTGGGGAGGTCAGTAGAGCGAAACTGGGATAGCCATTAGTCTTAGAATTCTCTACAGAGAAGAATGGCACCGGTTTGAAGTGATCCGTTGACTAGCAGATACGGGGGCCCAATGGGTTTCCATATATGCGGTTTAGAGGAGCACAGTTTGAGCCTCCCCACAACGTGAAAATCGCATCCCGGGCAGGCCGGCAGCCATCTGCGGCCGGGGAGAGGAAAGATTCATGCAGAGAAGAGTTTGGAGGTAGTAAAGGACACAAAGTAACACTACTGAGAGGAAAAAGTTATAATTAATTGATACTTTATTGGGGGATTAGTTACAATGTTAGGAAGGGGAAAAAAGTAATAAGAAGGTTTCTGGGTTGCAGCTGCTGCTGTGGCCACATTCATGTAGGTTGGCCCAAGCGGAGCAATAGAGAACTGAGGAACTCCCTGCTGCAGGTCAGATCAGCTTGAAAGCAGGGAGTTCTGGGTTTGACCTCATCAGTATATTAATATCATAATTTATATGTTGAATTGTTTTCCATGTGGAACAACATTTGTAATGGAAGTTCATCGAGAAACTTTGGCTTTGGGTGTTTGGTCCCAGTATCTATAGCACTGTAGAAGCGCACTACAAATTTGTATCTTTTCTAGAAACAGCTGGCTCAGATTAAATGGTCTCACCTCCAAAGATGTCTGCTTACATCTTTTCTGAAGGGGAAGCTGCAATGTTATTGGTACTGATAGTGACTTTAGAGGGGATGCTATGATGTTCTGGAAGCAACTGATACAACTGTGTTATGTTCATGCTTATAAAGCTTCCATTCTGGAGTACACTCCCATAATCCCCCAACCAGCAGATTTCTAGGCATGCTGTCTGGGGAATGTTGGGATTTATAGTCCAAAATGGTTTTTTAACCAAGTTG